CTCTGCTCCTAGACTGAAAAGTTAATCACTTCCTTCCTTGCTATAAAATGTCTACCTTTACATTTCCAACCTTCACAATCAGTCCTGATAACAATTATTCACTATTGTATCACAAGAGACCCATCTGCATTTCATTTCATCAACTCTGCCTAGGCAGATTGGATGCTACTCACTGGAGATTCTGCCTTCCTCCAGGCCCCCTGACTCTAGGTTCCCTCTTGAATGCTTGTAAGCCAGTCACTTCTTGCCTTTGTAGCCCTACCCACCCCCCCCATTTTGGGTTCTGGCTGTACTTCTTAAAATAAGATTTGTTCATTCTTCCATGGCATACTTCATATTCTTCACCAACACCATAATTCAAAAGCATCAAAGCCCCCTCATATATATTCACTGAGCACAAAGATACTCCTGGGACTTCTGGCAAGATGGCAGACGCGCTACACGGACGCTCTACAACAGATATGAGAGACCAGATGAAACAGACACAGATGAGAATTCTGGCATCCTGAGCTTCAGAGGAAAGGTTAGAGAGGTGGACGGAGAGGTGGACGGAGAGCTGGGAGAAGAGACAGAGCAGATATGGCGAGAGAGAAGACTGACTGGTAAAGCACTCGCCAGCCATGAGGAAACAGATTCCTTTTCCTCACAGTGCCCTGGTGACCAGAGGTGTGGTCAGCTCCCACCCTCACCCCCAGCTGAGACCCTGCTCTCCGGGAGTTTTGAGTCATGTGGTTGGGAGCCATGTTGGTGTTGAGTTGGGGGTCAGCTGCATCACTTTGGTGTGCCGCTTTGGAGCCTGGATTCGGGTGGGCTTGGCTCCAGAACTACAAAAGCTGCAGAGTCACCAGAACACCAGTAACCCTGTCCCCAGATACCCTGTGGTCCTAACAGACACTGAAACCAGCTCCATCAAGGACCCCCACAAACTACTTCCAGATAAAGTGCCCTGAACATAGAGAACATGGAGGCCGATAGGATCTCTACTCAGAGCCAGCAACTCTGCTGTCTCGTCCCTTCCACATCCACCATGTGAGATCCTTGAATTACAAGAGCCCCCTCCCCACCCCCGGAGATTTCTCCCCTCCAGGACCAACAACTGCACTGTTGGTTTTTTTGTTTGTTTCCCCACCCCCTTTTCCCCATTCCAACCATGTCTTAATCTCTGTATCCCAGAGCCCTGTAGTTCCAAGGTTGTGCATACATCATTATTTACCTCTGTCCCACTTAGCCCATTCAAACCTGTGTAATTGTTCTCCCATCTGCTTTGTTCTTCCATTCCCCTGCAGTGTTTGTTTTTACAAATAGGATAACTCCACAATGCCCCAGAGACAACAGATAATTTTAACTCACATGAAGAAACCAGAGAGACTGGGTCAAACAAATGACCAAGATACAGAGCCAGTTTCTGAGGAAGAAAAGATAATGGAACTAACTGAAAAGAATTCAAAATAATGATAATTAGGCACCTTTAAAGAATTGATAGAAAGACCAAGGAAAGCAAGGGGAACACACAAAAACTTTACAATTCAGGAAAACACTACAGGAACAGACAAAATAAATGTAAATTTTGAAACAGTACAAAACCTGCCATTACAAATCCAGAAGATTAATACTAAGATCTCAGAAACGGAGAAAACATAGATAGGGAAAAGGAGTAGATGTGAAGCAACAGAAGTCCAAATCAATCAGCTTGAAGAGAAATCTACCTCTTAGTACTGGTATTCTAGAAGAACAATAATAATAAAAAATAAAAATGAAAAACTCCAAAGAAATCAAGAGCCATGTAGGAAACCATGAAGAGGAACAACTCAATGGGTGGTTGGCATTCTAGAACCGGAAGAGACAATAAAAAACACAGAGAAAATTGTCCAAGAGTTGTTGGAAAAAAACTTCCCTAACATCATGACAGGAGAGAAGATAAACATATAAGAAGTTGAATATGCCCCAAACAGGATAGATCTCAAAAGAAAATCACCAAGACATAGCATAATCAAACTAGCCAAAATCTAAGACAAGGAAAGACACCTGACAGCAGTTTGGGAAAAATGAAGTTACCTACACAGGAGAACCAATATGATTAAGGTCTGATTTCTCAGCAGAAACCAGGCAGACAAGAAGGCAATGGGATGACAGACACAAAACTCTGAAACAAAAAAAGACTGCCAAGCAAGAATCACATATCCAGCAAAGTTGTCTCTCAAATATGATCGTGAAATTAGGATATTTCATGATAAACAGAAATTAAAGGAATTTGTAATGACCAGACCAACTTTACAAACAGTGCTAAAGGGTGTTTTTCTACTGAGAACCAACAGCAGAGATGTTACCTGACAATACCACACACGACAATACCACCCAGAACTTTAAAGTAAAACAAACCTTTGTTGTTGTTGTTAAGTGCTGTCGAGTCAGTTCCAGCCCTTAGTGACCCTGTATAGGGATTTCCAAGGAGCGGCTGGTGAGCTTGAACTACCAACCTTGTGATTTAAACTGACTTTGCAGTCCAGCGCATTTACCCACAGCGCCACACCAGGACTCCCTAAAACAAACCTGTTGTTAAGTGCCGTTGAGTCGATTCCGACCCATAGTGACCCTATACAGGGTTTCCGAGGAGCGGCTAGTGAGCTTGAACCACTGACCTTGCAGTTCAAATGGCTTTGCAGTCTGGCGCATTAACTCAGAGCGCCACCCCAGGACTCCTCCAAGACTGAAAATAGAGAACCAGAGATACCAGAGTACAATAAAGTCGACTACAAAGCAAAAGGATTGAATAGTGTAGATATGGAACTTCTAAATGGCAAGGAAGGCAGGTAGATTTCAGGATAGAGCATACAGTTATAAGCAGGGAAAAAAATTAAATACAGGGTAACATCAAGGAAAAATAATACCCCTGCACATCAAAATAAAAAAGAAGGAAAATAAAAAAGATTTACTAAACATTAACACGACAGAAATGAAAAGGAAACCCGCAAGCAGTATTAACTCAGCATAGAAAATTATGTGGGACAGAGACTCCAGGAGTAACACACATACACACACACACACACACACACACACCAAACAGAAACATTACAACAATCAATTCAAACCTATTGATAGTTACACAGAATGTAAATGGATTCAATGTTCCAGTCAAGAGACACAGAGAGCAGAATGGATAAGAAAACGGGATCCTTCAGCATGCTTTCTATGAGAGACATATCAAAAAGACAGAGACAGCCTAAATGCCCATCAACAGAAGAAGGGTTAAACAAACCTTGGTACAAACACACAATGGAATAATACAACATGTTGAAAAACAATGATGAATCTGTGAAACACTTCACAACATGGTTGAACCTGTAGAACATTATGCTGAGTGAAATTTGTCCATCACAAAGGACAAACATTGTATGAGACCCAATGTTGTAAAAAGGTAAAACTCCCCAAAAAAAGTTTTCTTGATCAAAGAAACAATCTATGATGGTTTTGGTGGGAGGAGCTGGGGTTGGGAAAATTAATCATGGGCTAGAGAGGGTAGACACATGTTAACATGGATGACAGGGCAGGCAATAGAAAACAAGAGGGAGGTTGTCAGAGGAAAGATGAAGGTAGCAGGAGACACAGGGAGGAATGCTAAAGTGAATAGAGGTAAAGACTGTTAACTGTTGATAACGCGGTGGGGGGTTGCAATCATTGTAATGAAGCAAAGTATATGATTTGTTGGGTGTAAAATGATGATCTGGTCTGTGAACCTTCATTCAATTTACAATTAAAAGGTTTTGTTTTGTTTTGTTTAAAAAGATACTCCTCAGACATCAGTAAACACATTCCAAGATTGGTTTTCTAAGTTTGAGTGTTTGGGACCTTAGTCTCATGGGACAGTTCTGTCAACGGACCTAATATACCTCACAAAGTTCCTGTTCTGCATCCTGGTGAAGTGAGAAGTGTCTGGGGTCTTAAAAGCTCGTGAGCAGCCATCTAAGACACAACTATCAGTCTTTCTACCCATCAGGAGCAAAAAGGTAAGTAAGACGGTAACCAAAATACAGAGGAGACCAGAAATCTCCCTAAAACCATCACCCTGAGACACTCTTTAAACCCTGACCCCAAACTACCCCAATCACCTAAGCAAAATGACACACCAAACAAAGGCTACTACCCAGCAGACTGCTGCTTTACTGAAAAAAACAAAAAAATAAATCTTTGTATGCCCCCAAAGTCAACATTTAATCCAAAGCAAAGTTGAGAAGATAGGGGAACAGGGAAACTAGTGTACTGGAAATGGAACAACCAGAACACAATTCATAAGAATACTGACACAGTAAGAAAAATGTAATTAATGTCACTGACCAGTTTGTGTGGAAATTGTCAAAGGGGAACCTAACATGCGGTATAAACTTTGACCAATGGCACACTAGTATTTAAAGAGAGAGAGAGATTACAGCCTAGAAAACCCTGTGTTTTTGTTGTTATGTGCCATGGAGTCAGTTCCAACTTACAGTGACCCTGCACAGAGTTTCCGAGGCTGTAAATCTCGGAACAGAAAGCCTCATCTTTCTCCCATGGAACAACTGGTAGTTTCGAACTGCTGACCTTGAGGTTCGCAGCCCGATTTGTAACCACTACGCTACCGAAGATCCTTATGGGATAGAAACATTATGGGGCAGTTCTATTCTATTTCATGGGGTCGCTGAGTCAGAATCAATTCCACAGCATCAGGCAACAAAAACTTTGAAGAAATAAATGTCTGTTTGTGACAGCCACTTGTTTGTGGCACTTCTGTGCCAGTGGAACCGTGTGACTGAGACAGGTGCCCATTCCTTGACACCCTCAACTGGGCGCCCATCATGACAAACCTGCAACACCACAACCCACTCAGCCCACGATGCTGCGGGAGGGTCCTGCATCACGTCATGTCCCCACTGGGCAAGGAGGTTAGGGCTGTAGTGTCCCAAAGCCGGTGCCCCAAGCACCTGCATCTGGGTCCCCATCTGCCCCCGCCATGTGAGGATTCTTACACAGAAACGGGAAGGTCTTGGGTGAGATGTTGAAGGCCCAAAAACTCTGAGTGGCGTAGGTCATGAAGATGTAGCAGCAAAGACTCAGTACGATAGCCAGCACACTCAGGATGGTCCAATACTTGATGATCAAGATCACCTGCCCAGGGAGGAAGGAGTGGAGCTGTTGAAGTTGGGGTCCTGGGAACACTCCTGGCAAGCTCTATCTGTGGTTATGTGCCCCAAGGATCCCAGTGTTACCTCCATGGTGATTGACAGCAGACTGGACAAGGCCACAATGACGCCAAAGGACTGGTAATCACTGAGAGTGGAGGGGTCCCCAGTGTTGTGACAGGCCATCAGGGTTATAAAGAAGTTGACCAGGGAGGTGATCATGCCATGTGCCAGGGCTTGAATGAAAACCCAGTAGTTGAAGAGTTCCTCCTTCTGCCCTGCTGTGTAGAGCTCTGGCATCTGCAAGCTCTTTTCGGCACTCACATCCTGGTTAGAGGGAAGAGGGCAGAGATGGGGGTGGGGGCAAGGAGAGGGTCATGGGACAGGGTAAGGATCCCCATAAAAATTCCAGTGTTTCACCCTAAGAGGCTCTTGGCATTTAAAATGAAAAACAAAGAAGTTAAAAAAAAAAGTAAAATTCATCTACAGAAGAATCTTGATCAAAAGGGGGGAATGTGGAAAATAATTTCAAATTTTCATGGTATCCAGACTTTCCGGAGCCACTGAGGCTGGCTGAACACCCGAAAATGTTGAGACAATCTTTAAACAACTTTAAACTGTAAACTATCCTTTGAGGTCTTTTTAAAAACCCAATGCAAAAGCCCCTTTGCTGTTAATGCCAATTTATAGAGGCCAGAATAGAACTAAAAGCTTCATAGGCTTCTGAGGGTGTAAATCTTGACAGAAGCAAATTGCCTCATCTCTCTTCAGTGCGGCAGCTGGTGGGTTCAAACCACCAACCTTCTGGTTAGCAGCCTAATGCAACCAGGGCTCCTTAAATCAAGCAACTGTTAGCTGCTGTTGAGTCAGTCTTGATTCATTTCAGTCATATTTACAACAGAACCAAACACTACCCAGTCCTGGGCCATCCCATAATTGTTATGTTTGAGTGCATTATTCTTGCCACTGTGTCAAACCATCTCCTTGGAGTCTTCCTCTTTTTTGTTGACCCTTCACTTTACCAAACATTTCTTTCTTTCTTCAGGTCCTTCCTGAAAACATGTCCAAAGTATGAGAGACAGATTTGTCTGTTCTTCTGGCAGTCCATGGCACTTTCAACCGTCTTCACCAACACCGTAATTCAAGTGCATGGATTGTTCTCTGGTCTTCCTTGTGCACAGTCCAGCTTACTCTTGCAAATGGAGAAACCGAAAATACCATGACTTGTGTATGGTGCACCTTAGTCCTCAAAGTGACATCTTTGCTCTTTAACACTTTAAAAGAGGTCTTTTGCAGCAGACTTGCCTAATGCAATACATTGTTAGATTTCTTGACTGCTGGTTCCAAGTGCATTGATTGTGGATCCAAGCAAAATGAAGTCTTTGACACCTTTGATCTTTTCCCTATCGTGATGTTATTTATTGGTTCATTTGTGAATTTTTTCATTTTTTTACATTGAGGTGCAATCCATATAGAAGGCTGTAGTCTTTGATCATAAGTAAGTACTTCAAGTCCTCTTCACGTTCAACTAGTAGAGTTATGTCATCTGCATACTGAAGGTTGTAATGAGTCGTCCTTCAATCCTGAGTTCATGTTCTCCTTCATTTAACCAAAATAATCCCAGGTTATTTTGCTTGGCATACAGATTGAATAATTATGATGAAAGAATACATCCCTGATACATACCATTCCTGATTTGAAGCCATTCGGTATCCCCTTGCTCTACTGACCACCTCTTGGCCTATGTACAGATTCCTCATGAGCACAGTGAAGTGTTTCCGTGTTCTGAAATTCTTCCCAATGTTATCCATAGGTTTTACAACCCACACAGTCGAAAGCCTTTGCACAGTCAATAAAGCACTGGTAAACATCTTTCTAGTATTCTCTGCTTTCAGCCAAGGTCCATATGACGTCAGCAATGATATCTCTCATTCCACGTCCTCATCTGAATCTGACAACTCTCTGACAGTGTTTTCTGAATCGTCTTCAGCAAAATGTTACTTGCATGTGATATTAATGATACTGTTCAATGATTTCTGCATTCCGTTGGATCACCTTCTTTGGAATGGGCTCAGATGTTGCTTTAGTGTCTCTACTCTCAAGAGCAAGTTTCAGTCTCTTCCGACACCCATTTGGTCTTTTCTTTCTTTCCTGTCTTGTTAATAATATTTTGCTTTCCTCAAGTATGTTCTTGATGTCATTCCACAATTCATCTGTTCTTTGGTCATTAGTGTCTAATGCATCAAATCTGCTTGAGATGGTCTCTAAATTCAGGTGAGAGCTACTCAAAGTCATATTTTGGCTCTCGGGGAATTGTTTTAATTTCCTTCAGCTTCAGCCTGAATTTGCATAGGAACAATAGATGGCCAGTTCTGCAGTTGGTCCCTGGCCTGCTTTTGGCTGATGAGATAGAGCTTCTCCATTATCTCTTCCCACAGATGGAGTTGACTTGATTCCTGTGTATTCCATCTGACAAAGTCCATGTGTGTAGTAGCTAATCGATGTGTGTAGTCACTGTTAATGTTTTTGAAAAGAGGCATTTGCAGCGAAGAAGCCGTTGTTGTTGTTAGTTGCTGGGTCCTGTTAAATCCATTCTGACTCAGTGACCCTGAGCACAACAGAACCAAACACTGCCTGCACCATCCTCACATTTGGAGCTCCGTGTGAGCCCACTGCAGATGCCACTGTGCCAATCCATCTTGCTGGGGGCTTTCCTCTTTTTCGATGATGTTCCACTTTACCAAATATAATGTCCTTCTCCAGGGCCTGGTCCCACCTGACAACATGTCCAAAGTATGAAAGAGAAAGCCTCACCATCCTCCCTTCTAAAGAGCATGCTGCCTGTACTTCTTCCAAGACAAATCTGTTTGTCCTGTCAGTCCCTAGTATTTCCATTATTCTTTGCCAGTGGCATTCATATGCATCAATAACATGCATCCGGTCTTCCTTATTCAGCACCCAACTTTCACATGCATATGAGGTGACTGAAAATGCCACCGCTTGGGTTGGGTGCACCTTAGTCCTCAAAGTGGCGTCTGTTCTCTTTAAGATCTTCACATCCCAGTCTCCAGTAATTACCAATGCACATCTTGATTGTATATTTGATCAATGTCAGACTGAAGAAGTTGGTAGAATTCCTCAGTTCCTTCATCATTGGCTTTAATGGTTGATGTATAAATTGGAATCATACTGGCATTACCTGGTTGTTCCTTATTGTTATTGTTGTTGGGTGCCATCAAACTGGTTTCGATTCATAGTGACCCATTCTAAGGAGTGGCTGGTGGGTTTGAACCGCTGACCTTGCAGTTACAAGTTCAGTGCTGATCCTACAGCGTCACACTTGGACTCCGTAGTGTTCCTTGTAGGCATATGGATATTAGCCTAAAACAGACAGCGTTGTTCTTCAAGATAGATTTTGAAATGCTCTTTTTGACAATGAATGGGACACCATGCCTCTTCATTCAATCTATCATTCCCAGCGTAGTAAACCACATGACTGTTGGATTCAGAGCGGCCAGTACCAGCCATCTCAGCCCACCAATGCTTAGGGACATCAATCTTTATGTGCTCTGCTCCATTTTGACAACTTCCCACTTCCCTAGATTTAGACTTCATCCATCCCATGTTCCAATTATTAGTGGATGCCTGCAGCGGTTTCTCCTCATTTTGAGTTGTGCCCCATCAGCAAATGAAGTTCCCGAAAGCTTTGCTCCGTTCACATCATCACGGTCAACTCTACTTTGAGGAGGCAGCTTTTCCCTGGTTGTATTTAGAGTGCTTCCCAAGCGGAGGGGCTTATCGCTGACAATGTTCCTAAGGTTTCAGGGGCTAAGCTTTCAGAAGCAGTTGCTCTCTTCTTCTCCCTAGTCTGTGTGAGCCTGGAAACCTGCCCACCATGGGTGACCCTGCTGGTATTTAAAACACCGGTGGCATCGCTTCCAGCATCACAGCAACACCAAGCCACCACAGTGGGACAAAGTGACAGACAAGTGGTGGTCCTACAGCACTGTACTGCTTTTCAAGGATCACAGATGTGGGGTCCAATGAATAACAGCAGCTTGAAAGGGCAGACGAAACCCTTAGTAGGCAGGGAGTTTATGCTCACAGTGATGGAATCATTGGGAGAAAGACAGCGAGAACGTGCAACTCAAAGAACTAAGCCAACATTACCCAACTGTACTCAAGAAGTTGTTGCATTGTCAAATGTTTTGTTATGTACACTTTCACACACACATATAAAGATTGTTTTTTCTTTAATGAGAAAAGTAAAATCCCATTCCTGGGTCTCACCAGCCACCTTTCAAGTGCTCGTTGGCCATGGCGTGTGGCTGATGACTGACGTAGAGAATGGCATGGGGGTGGAACAATTGATTCCCTATATTGTCAACAGGTTTGGAGGACCTTACGTCAGCTCGCTTAGCTGGGGTCTCACAAGGCTGGGGATGGGACAAACCTAGGAGACAGGTCCCTTCGGGTTCTCTCTCCTCACTGTGCAGATGAGGAGACCGTGGGGCCAGGATGCTGGGGGGGGGGGTTCCCCACAAAGTGTAAGATCAGATCAGAGCAGGAGGTCTCCATCCACTGACCCCAGGACCAGGTTGGGCTCGGGTGGAGACAATTAAATGGTCTCCATGGTACAGAGAGGCTGATCCGGGTCCCACCCAAAACTCTTCCAAGACATGAGGGTCTCCCAGTCCTGCCCCCCACCAGGTCCCCAACAAACCCCAAAGATAGAGGAGAGGAGCAGAGATGCCCACCTGTTCGAAGAGGCCAATGTAGAGGACCGGGAGGGTGGAGTACAGGAGATTGAAGAGTGCCAGGAACCAGCCTTCATACAGGGGCTGTGGGCGGCGAAGAGGGACAGAGGGCTTAGCCTTTGGAGGTAGAAGGACCAATAACAGAAGCCCATCTTGCCCTGAGGAGCCCCACCTAGCTAGCTGGGGAGGATTCTGGTGAGCTAGAAGGTTGTCTTTTAACCAAGGCTGAGGGCTGGGCAAAGTGCAGCTTGATGTCAGTGGCGAGAGAAAAGTCAGAGACAAAAGCACACAGCTGCCCTCCTGAAGCCTGATTCTATTGAAACCCTTGAGTCATGTGTGTGTGTGTGTGTGTGTGTGTGTGTGTGTTGTGTAAAACTACATAGCTTCAATGAAGTTGGGTGTTGTCTAGCCTCCAACTCATAACCACCCCATGTGCCAGAGTCGAACTGACCCCAGAAGGGGGTGCTGTAGGATGAAAATCACTGGACCACAAGGTCGGTTTGAATCGAATATCGGAGGTTCAAACCCACTAGCCCCTCCTCGGAAGTCTTACAAAAAAGGTTGCTATGAATGGGAACCAAGTCGACAACGCTTAATAACAACAACTAGGAGTGCTGGTGGCGCAGATGCTAAGCGCTCCGCAGGACAAAGCAAGGTGGGTGTTTCCAAACCACCAGGGGGTCTGTGGGAGAAACATGTGGCAGTCCCCTCCCGGTAAACATCGGTTGTTGTTGTTAAGTGTCTCGGAAACCCTATGGGGGCAGCGCTATTCTGTGCTATAGGGCAGCTTAACCACGCTAGGACTCCCTGTGAACATCGGTTGTTGTTGTTAAGTGTCTCGGAAACCCTATGGGGGCAGCGCTATTCTGTGCTATAGGGCAGCTATGAGTCTGCCGCCGCGCACCTGGGCGGTGAAGCCGTTGTAGAAAGCAAACCAGATCTGGGCCATCATACTGGCCAGCGTCTTGTAGATGAAGTAGCGAAGGAACTTGCAGATGCGCACGTAGGACCAGCGTCCATGCACCAACAGCAAGCGCCGCAGGAAGGAGAACTGGGCCAACACGTAGTCGCTGTTCTGAACCGCCTGCATGCCCTCCTGGCCCGCCAGCCCCACGCCAATGTCCGCAGCTGCAGGCCAGCGCAGCCTGTCGGGCAGGGGGCCGACCAAGCCACCCCAACCCCATCCTGACCCCTTCATAGCCCCCACCCTGTCCCGGGGCTCCCCTACCACCCCTGCAAGACAAGCCCTGCAAACAGCCCAAAGCACAGCCCCTCCACCCTGGTGGTCCCAACGCAGTTCGGGCCTCCCCTACACCCACACCTGGACGTCCAGCCCAGGGTCATCTCCCGACAGCCTACACCCGCTCTGGCGCTCCCACGCCGGCCTCCCCTCCTCCCACAGTCCTGGGACCGCCCCTGCTCTGCCCCCCAGGCCACACCGCAACCCCCACCCCAACCCCGGGACAGCCAACAAGACCAATCTCTCTCCAGACTGCTCACCGCTCCGCATTGCCACCCTCCCGAGGCCCCAAGACCGCCCCGCCCCTTTCGGGCCAGACTGCCCCTTGGGCCTTGCTTAAGACCCCCCTCCTCAGTCCTCAAGACGCCCCCGCCCCCAGCGCTCACTTTTGATCATGTTCACGTCATTGGCCCCGTCCCCGATGGCCAAGGTCACGACGCCCTTGTGTCTCTTGACAAGCGTCACGATCAGAGCCTTCTGCTTGGGCGTCACCCGGCAGCAGATGACCGCCTGGCAGCGCACCGCCAGGTCCACGAAGGCCCGCTCGCGCCTCACCTCGGGGCTTTCACTGAGCTTTCTGCCCTGGGCCTGCCGGGCCACGCAAGAGATGCCCAGGGGCATCAGGAAGGAGTGCCACATCCGAGGCACACGGGTCAGCCAGGCTTCCTGATGCAGGCTGGGCTCACCCCAGGCCTCCTCCGCCAGCATGGACCGCGGCAGAGACTTGTGTTTGTCGAACAAGGTTGGGATCATCAGCTGGTCCTGGCCCGAAGACAGCAGGGGCAGTGTGACCCTCTTCATGCGACCCCTGCTTCAACACTCCTGCCGGACCACCCCCCAACCCCCAGGCGGCCACACGCTCTTGGCTTGACATTTGAGGCCCTTTTCAGCCTCAGCTTTTCCAACAGCCCCCTCCCCTAGCAGGAAGCTGGGCAGAGACACTGACCAGGAAGTCCCCTGTGATGACCATGGCTATCTTGACTTGTGGTCGGAAGCGGCCCTTCCCATCCAGCAAATTGTTGTTGCTGTCTGAGTAGGACTTGAGGATGTGGCTGTGGGGTTGAGTAGGGTCAGCGGCTGCACCTGGGCCCTGGGTGCCCCCAGCCCTCCCCTGCCCACCACTACTTACACGATCTCTTTCTCTTCCAGAATGATCATGTCTTCTGAGAGCAGTTGACAGGCAAAACCGATGTTCACTGCTGTCTCTGCAAATCAGACTCACTCAGTCCCACTGAGCCCAACCCTCTCGGGAGCTGCCTCCAGCCACATCCATCCTGCCTGCAGCCCTCAGGGTGGAAACTTCAGCTGGGCCCAGACCCCACCATTCCAGGCACAACACCTGGGTCAGAGAAGGGCCATGTGACCCATGCTGGCCAATGAGAGCCAGTCCTAAGACTCTGGCCGCAATTCTGAGCACTGGGCTCCCTGTGAACTAGCTGGGGTGAGGCCCAGGAAGCCTCCACAGAGGTCTCCATTACCTGGGACTAACTGATCACTGGTAGCGTAGTGGTTACGAATCAGACTGTGAACCTCAAGGTCAGCAGTTCGAAACTACCAGCTGTTCCGCGGGAGAAAGATGAGGCTTTCTGCTCCCGTAAAGATTTACAGCCTCGGAAATCCCGTTCAGGGTTGCTATGGGTTGGAACTGACTTGACGGCACTTAACAACAACAACTGATCACTAGGCACAGTGCCTCCGGTCTACGATGTGCTTTAGTGGACCTAGGAGTCCTGGTGTGGCATTGTAGGAGAAGTACTGGACCGCAAGGTTGGTTTGAACATCGAGGTTTGAAGTTCAAACTCACCAGCTCTTCCTCAGAAACCCTATACCACCAGGTCTCTAAGGGTTAGAACTGACTCCATGGTACTACAACAAATCCCACATAATGTCTACATCTAACCACAAAGCTGGCGGTTCAAATTTACCAGCCGCTCCTGGGAAACCTTATACAGGGTCGCTGTGAGTTGGAACCGACTGGATAGCACTTAACAACAATATATTTTGGTCTCTGGTAGCGTAGTGGTTACGAGTCGGGCTGCCAACCTCAAGGTCAGCAGTTCGAAACTACCAGCAGTTCTGCAGAAGAAAGATGAGGCTTTCTGCTCTGGTAAAGATTTACAGCCTTGGAAACCCTGTACAGGGTCGCTATGGGTCAGAACTGACTCCACGGTACTTAGCAAGAACAACAAGGCAAAAGTGCCTGGGACCCCTAAAAGCAATGCAGTCCTGCCAACACCCTCCACATCTCCCTAGACACCCTATGGACCCTGGGTGTGTATATGTGGATAAGTCTAAGAACCTGAGAGCCAGAGGCCCTCAGGGTCCAGGCCGAGCCCCTCCCCTAAGGAGCTAAATGACCTCCAGCAGATCCCCCAAGCTCTCTGAGCATGATTTTGCCCATCTATCCCATGGGGGCATGAGGACCCCTCCTCAAAATGCTACCGTGAGGCTGACAATTTCATGCCGCACCCCTTGGGAAGCTGCAACCGTTACTAGAATCTGCATCGTCCCAGTTTCTCCCTTTTCCAAGGAACCCATGTGGTGGGCAGTGATGTTGGGAGCCTTGGAGTCGACACCAAGTCCTATCAACCCCGTGCGACAGAGCAGAATTGTCCTGGAGGCTTCCTAGGCTGCTGTCCTCACGGGTATAGATCACCAGGGTTTTCTCCCCGGAGAGCCGCTGCTTGGGTATCTGCTGAGCCGCCTTATAGAAGGCAATGCTTGAGCCAAGCCTGGTCAGGCTGATGGGATCGCTTTGCACAGGCTGTGAGACTCCTTCCCTGCCCCCTCCTCCTCCTTTCTCCACACCAAGGACCCACCTTGCTTGTCCCCTGTCAGCATCCACACTTTGATGTTCCCGTTCTTAAGGCACTTGATGGTGTCCGGGACCCCATCCTGTAGTCTGTCCTCAATGGCGGTGGCTCCTAGGAGCTGGGGGCCCAGGGAAGGGGACTGAGCGGGCACCCAGCTCCTCAGCAGTGGCTGAGGGGCCCTCCTGCCTGCAGATCCTCACCCCACCCCACCCCTGGCGTCCACTACCTGGAGGTTCTGCTCCATCTCCTCATACACCTGGTGTAGGGCCTGAGCCCGGTTCTGCAACAGGAGGCTGGCCTCTTCATGCCGCTGTCTCCACGCCTCGTACACGTCTTTGTCCACTTGCTTGTAGGCCAGGCACAGCGTCCGAAGTGTCTGTTCTGCAAAGGCCTGGGTGGGGAGTGGGGGGACACATCACTGCCCCGCTGCCCTAGCCCGGCTCCTTTCTCCCCAGCTCTGCCCCCTGAGCTTCCCAAATCCTGCCCCTCAACAGTCTTGTCTGTCCCCTCCCCAGCCCTGCGTCATCCCTCTGAACAGGCTCTGCCTCCTTCAAAGGCTGGAGGGCAGGGTGGGCAGACAGGAAGGCACCCACTGACCCTCTGTCTCCCTCTGTGGTCCCAGTAAGATTCCTCTTGCTATTCCTGACCTCTCCTCCCCCACTTCCTGCCCACATGGATGGCCCCAGGCCTTCAGGCTGGTGAGGCTCAGCAGGTCCCGGAACCCAGGTCTGGAGGGGTGTTAGGGCAACAGTTGTTGTGGGTCATCGATTCTGGCTCATGGTGACCCCATGTGACAGAGCAGTGGTCTCCAGAGCTGTCATCTTTAAAGGAGCAAATCGCCAGACCTTTCTCCCATGAAGTTTCTGGGTAGGTTCGAACCGCCAACCTTTTCCTTTGCAGCCAAGTGCTTAATCCTCATACCACCAGGGCTAAAGCCTGCCCACAGAGAGTCCTTGTATAAATCAGGGTAAGTCATCCCTGCTGGGTGGGTGCAGCGTCCTCCCAGCCCGCTTGCGTGGTGGGTTCCACGGCACACAATGGTCCGTGGCTGTCCTGGGCCCTGAAAGCCTGTTCCCTGCCTACTTCTCTCCCTGACCCCGCCATGGCCAGAGAGCAGGGGCTCACCGCCAAGGCCTCCTCAGTGGTGGACTCCGTCATGTCTCTCTTGTTCAGCCGCTGGAAGATGACCATGTCGGCACCCTTTGTGTACAAGTAGATGAGACCCTCCGGGTTGCGCACTGTAGGGGAGGTGGGGAGAGGCCCAGGTGTCAGCGTGCTCCCCTCTCAGTCTCTGCCCTCGGCAGCGCCGGGGGTGTCGGGGAGGCTCACCCAGCACGGACATGCGCTTGCGGACACTGTTGAAGTCCATCATGGCCAGCACCTCGTAGACATACTCCTGACCCAGCTCCATCAGCGTGATAGTGTCTTGCGTGCGTGACAGGAACACGTAGCCGAAGTTCCGGGCGGCCGTGACCAGAGCCTCCTCATCCGGGGACGCTGCTTGGTACAGGAGCTGGTCTGGGGCAGGGGGTAGGAAGGGAGTGGACCGTGGGGGCACAGTCGCTGAAAGCTGGCTGCCATATACTGTGAGGGCTCCCCTGCCGGGCACACACCTCTGAAACCCATAAAAGAAAGCAGATGCTTGGGCCTTGTTAGGACTGAACCGTGTCTCTCAAAGTTACACGCAAGTCCTCGCCCATGTACCTGTGAGTGTGACTTGGCTGGAAGTAGCGGTCTCTTTTGGTTGTATTTGGTTTGGGTTACGCCTAAACCTACATACCTTTGGCATCTTTTAAAGAAAAGGCAAAGAGACACATATGGTGGCAAGGAATGCCAGAGCTCCCCTCCCCGAGCTGATGGACGGACCAGCAGGCAGATGCCCAGATGTGAAGTCCAGCCTTCCAACCAGCCAAGGAACTCATTTTATTTGGACCTACCATCAGTGCTCAGGGAAACAGCAATCAAGAAATCAAGCAATTAGTTGCACTGGGAAAATCTGCTGCACAAGACCTCTTTAAAGTGTCAAGAGCAAAGATGTCAGTTTAAGAACTAATGAGGACCTGACCCATATTTTCGATCGCCTTATATGCGTGTGAAAGTTGGATAGTGAATAAGGAAGACTGTAGAAGAGTTATGGTGTTGGAGAAGAATATTGAACATGCCATGAGCTGCCCATAGAACCAACAGATCTGTGTTGGAAGAAGTGCAGCCCGAGTGCTCCTTGGAGGCCAGAATGGTGAGACATCCTCTCACGTACTTTGGACATGTCTGGAGGGACCGTCCCTGGAGAAGGGCATCACACTTGATAAAATGGAGGGCCGGCGAAAAAAGAGGAAGACGCCCAACGAGACGGACTGGCAAAGTGGCAGCATCAATGGGCTCAAACGTAAGACTGATTGTGAGGCTGGCCCAGGATGGGGGAGTGTTTCCTTCTGCTGTGCACAGGTTGTCTGTGTTAGAACCAACTCAATGACACCTAACAACAATGCCTGGACCAGAAGGTACAATAAATTTCAGTTCTTGAAAGCAGTCATTCATAAATTTTACTATTGTTGTTTCGGACCCAAACCACCTTCTCTCTGAGTAACAGACCCTCCGCTCAGCCCCTTGAAGCCTCACTTCATGTCAGTAATAAGCCTTCTCAGCCCTAGGCCTGGGCAGGAAATTCAGGGAGAGAAGATGAGGCCTGGGAGAGGGGCCTGAGTCCACTCTAAACCATCGATCTGGTTATTGTCGAGTGGACTTTGACTCATACCTCCCCACGTGTGTCGGTGGAAGGGTTTTCAGTGGCTGACTGTTGGGAAGCGGATTGCAGGCTTTGCTTTAGAGAGACTGCTGGGTGGAACTGGTGAACAGTCAAGCACGCCCCCTGGGGATACCTCTCACAATTCAGGGTGTGGGTCTAGGGGGAGGGTCCTGTAATCCATTTCCACTTCTAGGAGCTGCCAACAATCCGTCACTCATGGGATTGTAGCTGCATTGTCATGTGTGTCTGCTTCACGTGGTCTCTCACCCCTGTGTTTGTCTGTCTGAGTCTACTCTGCTCTTTTTATAACTCAGAAGGGATTAGGGTTAGGATCCACCCTCCTCTAAATTAGCCTAATAATATATAAAGCGTTGGTGTGGCACTGTAGGATAAGCACTGGACCACAAGGTGGGTTTGACCACAAGGTTGATGGTTTAAACTCAATAGTCACTTCTTAGAAACCCTATACAGTATGATTTGGAACCAACTTGACAGAACGTAACAACAACATAAGAAAAAAAAAAACTATTTCCAAACAGAATGACATCCGCTGGTTTTAAAAAACAACACTACAGTTGGAGCAAACAAGAGTGAAGAAAATCGAAGACTCATCGAAACAAATACTCCAAAGGGTCAATGACCACCAAACCCCAGCCTCCATGCCCCTGAGACCAGAAGAACTAGATGGTGCCCGGCTACCACTGCTGACCGCTCTAAAATAGAGTGCAGAAAACAATGTGGAAGGAAACTCAAAACTGCAAATAAGGCCAGGCTTACTGGTCAGACAGAGACTGGTGTGTCCCCCGGAGACTACAGCCCTTAGACACTGCAGGCCTGAAACTGAACTCACCCACGGTGGTTCAACGCTCAGCCAAACAATGGTGGTGGTGGGGGGTGTCACTGAGTTGGTTCGGAGCCACAGTGACCCTGTACGGGGTTTCCCGGCTGTAAATCTTGATTGCGGTAGAAAGTCTCCTCTTCTTCCCTTGGAGCGGCTGGTAGACTCCGGCTGCCAACCTTTCGGTTAGCAACCCAACTCGTAACCCATTATGCTACCACGGCTCCTTAGCCAAACAACTGCCAGGTATATAGGGGAGGTACCCACACCTTAGAACCACCTGAGATCAAAAGGGCAGCGTCTACCCCAGGAACCACAGGGAGGAAAGGAGCCAGAAAAGAGGGAGGAAGCAGGAAGGGTGGTATGTTACAGAGATGAAACATGTGGGGTGTTGGATGGAACATGGACCTGGTCTGCATGCCATCACCCAATTCACAACAAGAACTTAAAGACCAACACAAGCCCTTTCCTTGGAGTCGACTCGGACTCAGGGCGCCCCTTGTGTGTCAGAGCAGACCTGCCCTGCAGAGGGCTTTCTGTGTCTGGTTTTTTGGAAGCAGTTCACCCAGGTCCTCCTTCTTCCCAGGGTGGACACTCACTGTCCTGTTCTTGCACCATGACCGTGTGGCACAAAGCCAGCAGGCGCCAGAATTCCCGCACCACTTGGTCCTGGTTGGTCCGCACAGCAGCCAGCAGCTCCTTGTTGTAGAAAAGCAGCTTCCCATCGGCAAACTCGTTCCACTGGTAGGGGTTCTGGGCGGCCAGGAGGAGGACAAGCCAGCTGAGGGTCCTTGCTGGTCCCCAACACTCGGGACAGCAAGGCAGGGTGCACCTTCTGTGGGGGCCCTGCCTCCCCCAGTCCCCACCTTCCAAGGCAGCGGGACGGGGCTCACCTTCTGTGGGGTCCCTGCCTCCCCCCACGCCCACCATCCAGCGCAGCAGGACGGGGCTCACCTTCTCAGAAGGATCCTGATCCTGTGGCCCTGGGGAGAGATAATGGATCAAGCTTAGCTCCCGGGGGTTCCCTTGGGGATTCCACTGCAGGCTTCCCAGGGCTTCTCGGTACCCTTGCAATTAGGAGCCCCCCACTCCCTGCCCGAGTCTCCTGCACAAAATGGAGAAAGATGTGGTCACACCCCCCAGGTGTTCCTGGAGGGGCTTGGCTTGGTGGAAAAGCACGTCTGCCTACTTTGAAGAATTGGGAGCTGTTGTCAGGGGCACTCCAACTCTTAAGTGACCCCACAGGCTTCCCTAGCTTATCATCTCTGCTTTTTGCTGAAAGTGAAGAGGATTTGAAATACTTATGGATGTAGCTCAAAGGCGACAACTATCAGTACAAGTTGCGCCTTGACGTAAAGAACACAAAAATCCTCACCACTGGACCGATATGCAACATCACAACAAAGCGAGAGAAAATGGAAGTTGTCAAAGACTTCTTTGGGCTTGGATCCACTTGGATCAGGACTCATAGAAGCAGCAGTCAAGAAAAATCAAACGAGTTGCGTTAGGCTGATGCGCTGCAAAGGACGTCTTTTCAAGTGTCGAAGAGCAAAGATGTCACTTTGGGGACTAAGGTGCGCCTGACCCAAGACATCATAGTAATTCCAGTCACCTCATATGCCAACGCTGGACAAAGAGTAAGGAAGAACTGGAGAAAAATGGGTGTGTATGAATGATGCAGAATGGACCAAGGACTGCCAGAGCACGTTCATTCACGCACTGACCACAGCGGCTTCCCAGCTGTGGTGACCGCTGCGTGGTGACTGCCCAGCTACAAAGGTTGTCTCTTTGGCCTTCTGAGAGGATCCTGGATGGTGCAATTTGTAACAGGCTGTTAACAGAAAGGTCGCTGGTTCTAACCTACCACGCATCGCTCTTCTCCTAAAAACTGCTAAAGCTGGGTGGTGTTGAGACGATTCGAAGTTCACACCTACCCTGAAGGGTAGAGGACATTTACCTCATTGGGTTTTCTAGGTTGTGACCTCTATGGGGTTTGACTGCCAGATCTTCCTCCCTCTTAGCCAATAAGCGGGTTTCAAACTGCTGACCTTTCAGTTTGCTAGCCCAGCGCTTAGCCATTGTACCACCAGGGCTCCTCCATACAGATTACAGGTAGTCTCCACATTACGGATTTCTGGTCATGCACAATCCATGGTTGTAAACCAACCCCCTGTGAAGGCCCTGTTGTTGTTAGGCGCCATGGAGTCAGCTCAGACTCTTAGTGAACCTGTACACAAGAGGGGAACCCACGGCCCAGTCCTGCGCCGTTCTCTCAAATGTTGTATTTCAGAACGTTGTATTATTACTCCCACTGGGCCAATCCATCCCATTGGGGGTCTTCCTCCCTTTCGCTGCCCCTCCACTTTACCAAGCATGATGTCCTTCTCCAGGGACTGATCCCTCCTGACAACATGCCCAAAGTATTAGTGATGAAGTCTCCTCATTCTCATTTCTAAGGAACCCTCTGGATGTACTTCTTTTAAGACAGATCTGTTTGTCCTTCTGGCAGTACATGATACTTTCAATATTGTTCTCCAAGACCATAATTAAAATACACCGGTTTTGGTACAGTCTACCTTATTCA